CCGAGGGATACTCTATGGTTTTCCCTCGGATGGTCGTGGCCCTGCCCCCAGTGTGCCCGGCGTGCCCGCGTCACTTCCGGGAGACGTGGATGCGGCTGAATTCACACTTGGCGACCCTAATGTACAAGTCCAACTAATGCATAACAAGCCACAGCAGCTGAAACATTAATGCCTTCTAGACTGAAACCATCTATACATGGTATAGTATGTGACCAGGAATAACCTTACTGGGTAGTAAAAAGCTATCCGTAAACATTTTTTTTTGCACATGATTTGTGCATGTATCTACGCCAATGCCTATAAACAGTGATGTCCCATGAGGAATTTTGTGCTCAAGAATCTCTTGTCTCTAGTCAGTTTTCTTGTGTCAGGTCTCTTGCTGTCCTCCTAATACTTTATGGGGCTCTCAAATCACTTCCTACCCCCCCCCCCACATCTCCTTAGGCCATCTATAGCACTGATTCTCTTATGTCTCTGTGTGATGTTTTTCTCTCAGCCAAACCAAGCTCCGGCTTCCCTTACACTGATTTTCACCGACCCGTGACCTTCCTTTCACCTCAGCATTCGAACTGTTGATGAACGTTCTATGACTTCACATCAGATCAACAAACAGCTAGATGGGGCTTACAGACACATAGCATGTAGTCTTGTGTGTGTGATACGACAACTGGTCATTCAGTGCCCAAGTCTACTGAAGGGAAGAGTTCTTCCTGTACAGGGAAAATTCGTGTGGCATCAATAAAGAGTCTAGCATGAAGTGCTACTTTCCAACTTGCAGACAGGTCTTTTTAAAAGTAAAGGAGAGCATTCAAGTATGAAATTTCTCTGCTGCTTGAAACAGCCACAGTCCTTGGAGGACTGTACCATGTGATATTCCCACACCTGAAATTCATAGCTTTCCCCTGAAGCTTAATATAATGGCAGCCCTGATGGGGCTGAAAGTTGGGCTGTATATCTTTTACACAACAAATAAATGAATATATACCTTTGGGCAAACCATTTCTCTCTCTCTGGCAAGGGTGATCCATGTGGGCAAGCATGCTGCATGGGGTAAAAGCTTCTCATCCAGCACCTGTGGCTGCATGAACACCTGAGCATTGACCATGTCTGGGGGGGCGGTGGCACTGATTTCAGACCCTGAAGGTCCTATTAACTTTACTGATCTGCTCTGCGAGTTCACATGTAGAGAGCTTCAAAGTCAGTAGCATAACCTGGTGTTCCTGTGCACATCAGGTGAGAACAAGTGTGGTACAGTATTCAGGGTTTCTGACTAGGACTGGAGAGACTCAGGTTCAAATCTCTGCTCAGCCATGAGGATCACTGGTTAACTATGAGCCAGTTTTTCTCTCTCTCTCTCTGTCTGTCTTTTTTCTCTGTCTCTCTGTCTTTCTCTCTCTCTCTCTCTGTCTTTTTTCTCTGTCTATTAGGCCGCACCCCCATGTTACCAGAAGTGTGGTCATCCAGCCACACCCACCTTTTGCTTCTTATTCTGTTTACCTTGTTTGTTGTCAAAACCCAGGGCCTTTTTTTGTAGCAGGAACTCCTTTGCATGTTAGGCCACACACCCCTAATGTAGCCAATCCTAATGAGTTTCTGCTGTTGGGTGTGGCCTATTATGCTAATGAGTACCTGCTGGGCGTGGCCAACTTGGGAGCCAGCCGGAACTCCGTTCCTGTGCGTTCCTGCCCAAAAATAGCCCTGTAGCTCAGTCTTCGGATCAGGGCCCGTCTCTCTGTCCAGCACATCCCAGAAGTTTCCTTGTGAGGAAAAGCGGCATAGAGCATGTCAGGGCATTTTCTCCATTAAGAGAACGGCTGTTTAAATTGCCAGCCCGTGTGAAATACGGCGTGTCCTGGATTCGCTTTCATTTCGTTTCAGTTCTTCGGCGTTTCGAGAGCGTTCCTGCCTCCAAGCTTTCCGTCTCGACAGATGAGGCCGAGATGGTTCGGTCTGAGACCATCCAAGGGGAGCCCAGCAGTGCGCTTTGGCAATGCGTTGCAGGTAAGGAAGACTTTGCATTTCCTCTTTGCCAAAAAAAGGGGGGGCAGCAGGGTGGTGGATTCGGGATGTAGATGGATGCTGGTGGGTCTTCTTTCTGGAATTTGGTGCGTACATACCTCCCACTGTGAAGATGGTTTCAGAGGGGTAGCCACATTGGTCTGCGGTTGAACACCTGGAGACCAACAAGAGAATGGCGGTATAAGCACTTGAGAGTCAAACGAGAATTTTGTTGATCTCGAAACTGAAGCTCAAAGACTTTGGCCACCCAATGAGAAGGGAGCACTCCCTGGAGAAGACCCTGATGCTGGGAAAGACTGAAGGTCAAAGAAGACGGGGACGGCAAAGATGGGATGGTTAGACAGTGTCATCGGTGCAACGAACATGAAACTGAGCAAACTTCAGAGGATGGTGGAAAGCAGGAGGGCCTGGCGTGATCTGGTCCATGGGGCCGCGAAGAGTCGGACTCGACTGTGCGACTGAACAACAACAACAAGGTGTTCTACTGGATTCAAATCTGGCTGTTCCGGTGGCGAGCTAGTCATGATGGGGACATGTGGGAGTTCCAGATGACCCTTGTCTGGGCTGATTCATATATAGGCATCCACTTAAGAAGCTCTACATAACTAATTAGCTTTCCTACATCCGATCATTAATCTCCCAACAAGAGGTGCCCTTCAATAACTTTTAAAAAAAGTGGTTCTTTTTCGGTATAGCATGCAAATAAAGGTATTACTAGAGAATCTTGCCTACCTTTTATCTTTTTATTAAAACCTAATTATTTACACTTTAACATTAACACATGAATAGGATAACAGCATCCCTTGCCGTTACATATATAATTAAAGAAGAATGATTATTTCAGCCCATGAATTGTTTCTTGCCAAAGTAAGCAGGTTACAAGCAAGGCGGACCTTCAAAGACGATGCTCCAGATCTATTCCGTTCCCCATATTTATAGATTTTTAAAAACCATAAATCCAACAATAGCTATAGAAAAGAGTAAGAGTTCAGTAGCACCTTAAAGACAAACAAAATCTGTGGTAGGGTAGGGGCTTCCATGAGTCACTGCTCACTTCTTCAGATATTTCGTCACGAAAACTCATTATTGTTGTTCAGTCGCACAGTCGAGTCCGACTCTTTGCGACCCCATGGACCAGTTCCCGCCAGGCCCTCCTGTCTTCCGCCGTCCTCTGAAGTTTGCTCAATTTCATGTTCGTTGCATCTATGACACTGTCTAACCATCTCATCCTTTGCCGTCCCCGTCTTCTTTGACCTTCAATCTTTCCCAGCATCAGGGTCTTCTCCAGGGAGTGCTCCCTTCTCATTTGGTGGCCAAAGTATTTGAGCTTCAGCTTCAGGATCTGTCCTTCCAGGGAACAGTCAGGGTTGATTTCTTTTAGGATTGACTGATTTGATCTTCTTGCAGTCCAAGGGACTCTCAAGAGTCTTCTCCAGCACCATAGTTCAAAAGAGTCTATTCTTCGGCGCTCGGCCTTCCTTATAGTCCAACTTTCGCAGCCATACATGACTATTGGGAATACTCATACCCTACCACAAATTTTGTTAATCTTTAAGGTGCTACTGGACTCTTACTTTTTTCTACTGCTGCAGATAGACCAACACGTCTACCCATCTTGATCTGTCAACAATATCTAGCAGTTCAACCTACTGAGGCTCACATTCTTGGCCAGTTAATTAACTTGGTATGGTGTTTGAAGTTATAGGCTACTGACACTCAAATATATTCTTAAAATATATAAAAGCTGTGTTAGTTCATTCTTAATATTTCTTATCGTAACCAAGAATATACAAAATTAAGAAGAAGAGAAGAAGAAGAGATAGGATTTATACCCTGCCCTTCACTACCCAAAGGTGTCTCAGAGGGGCTTACAAACTCCTTTCCCTCCCCCTCCCCACAACAGACACCCTGTGAGGTAGGTGGGGCTGAGAGAGCTCTGACAGAAACTGCTCTTTTTCAAGAACAGCTGTGCCAGAACTATGGCTTGCCCAAGGTTATCCAGCCAGGTGCAAGTGGAGGAGTGGGGAATCAAACCCGGTTCTCCCAGATTAGAGTCCGCGCACTTAACCACTACACCAAACTGGACACAATACATGAGCCAGAACCGGAACAGTTTCCTGGACACATGAGCTGCCTTATATTGAATCAGACCCTTTGTTCCAACAAAGTCAATATTGTCTGGTCAGTCTGGCTGCAGCTCCCCGGTGTCTCAGGCAGAGGCCTTTCACATCACCTGCTGCCAGATCTTCTAACTGGAGATGCCAGGGATTGAACCTGGGACCTTCTGCATGCCAAGCAGAGTCACAGCTCTTTTGAGCTCAGTGGTGTCATTGGGGTGGGACTTGGTGGCAGAGGTGCAGGGCCCCAGCCCACAGGGTCAGCAGGGGTGCCCCAAAGTCAGGCTGTGGATTCACATCACTTCAGGGGAGGCCCCAGTACAAATATGAAGGCCCTTAAGGCTTAAGCAGGGAACACAATGGCCACATGCCTCCTGCCATCTACAAAATGCAAAATTCAATTTGCCTCAGGACCATGCAGGGGAGAAAGGTGGAACTTAACCCTTCAAACCCTGCTTGGTTTCAATCAGGGCTTTTTTGTAGAAAAAGTCCAGCAGGAACTCATTAGCATAACAGGCCGTACCCAACAGCAGGAACTCATTAGCATATTAGGCCACACCCCTGATAGCACAGCTCACTCGCATATTAGGCCACACCCCCATGTTATCAGAAGTGTGGTCACCCAGCCACACCCACTTTTTGCTTCTTATTCTCTTTACCTTGTTTGTTGACAAAACCCAGGGCCTTTTTTTTGGAGCAGGAACTGCTTTGCATGTTAGGCCACACACCCCTAATTGTAGCCAATCCTAATGAGTTTCTGCTGTTGGGTGTGGCCTATTATGCTAATGAGTTCCTGCTGGGCGTGGCCAACTTGGGAGCCAGCTGGAACTCCGTTCCTGTGCGTTCCTGCCCCAAAATAGCCCTGGTTTCAATATTTGACATGCCCTCATACCTTTTCTCCTGATTAATAAGGTACACAGCCTTATTTCAAATAGTTTCAAATAGTGGAAGCTGAAGGGTTAGACCCTCTCCTCTTGTTCTGTGAGGCCCAAGGCAAATTGAGGCTTCCTGAGCCTGCAGTTCGCATTTTGTAGAGCAGCCAAGTCACTCGATGCTCCTTTTGTCTGTAGGAGAGCTCAGCTCAGCCTCAGCTTGTGCTCACCCATACTTGTTCATGCAGGAGGAGATACTGTCCTGTATACCTGTTATGCAATAGAACTAGAGATCATTTTTGTTAGCGGATTGCTCTCAGACGATTCTTGGAACAGAGATGCCCTGAAGATGTCCTTCCTGTTACCTGCTCCTGTGAAATAGGCCACTTACAAGATTGCCTTGTGCATACTGGCTGCAGAAGCAAATTCATTAAACCAGTGACAATTTCCTGCCATGGTGACCTTATTCTATAATGAGTTTCAGCTGCTCCCATTGGAAATCGGGGCCTTGTGGAACCTGTTACAGTTCCGCCAGGCTTTCAGTTGAGGTGATGGGCACCCTGTAGGGTTGCCAAATCGTTCTTATAATATAAAACACTGCTTTTTACTTGTGAATATTGTGGCAACACAATCAAAGAAGGTTATTTGTGGATCATAGGTGGATTTTATAATCACTGGGCTAGTGATTGCACTAAAAAGGTTTCATGTGCATATTTATCCTGTGCCTGGTTACTTTACTTCTGAACAATTTATGGTCCTTATTGAATTTGTATTTTGTATATATTCCTGATTGTGTCTGTATGAATGTAACTATTTACCATCTAGCCACATTTGTATGACCTCTGAGGAAGGCCGATTCGGCCGAAACGCGTCAGGTCAACTCTTTTAGCCCTGGTTATGGTTATGTTTTATATATATTGGTTATAATTGGGCCCCTATATATGTTTTAATTTGATATTATCAATAAATACATGTACCTCTTTTTATGAAAAGGTTTTAATATTGGCCCTCCTTTCCACTAACCTGTGTTTGGTTTTGGAGTTCTTTGTTAGGTTTAGTTTCTTTCCCTTTTTTGTTCTTGCTAGTATGTCAGGATTTGAACCTGGGTTTCCTAGATCCTAGGGGCCGTGGTGGCTCAGAGGTTAAGACGCTGAGCTGCAGACCAGAAGCTCAGCAGTTCGAGACCCGAGTGCCGCATGATGGAGTGAGCTCCCGTCTCTGGCCCCAGCTCCTGCCAACCTAGCAGTTCAAAAGCAAGAAATTGCAGGTAGACAAATAGGTACCGCTTCAGTGGGAAGGTAACAGCATTCC